GAAGACAGCCGCGGAGTCGCAGCTAACGGCGGCTGCTCCTGCCTAACTACATTTCCCAGAGTTCTCAGCGGCAAACCGGTTACCCGGCCGGGCTCGCGACCGGAAATTGACTCCGCGGTCGCTAGTGGCCCGCAAGGTGCTCTTACGCAATCTGTCACTAACGGTTGCTTACAGCTTCCACCCATCTGTTCACGCACTCGCCGTCTCTGGTGTGGGAGGAGGCGGAGCAAGACAAGCTGCAGCTTGTAAGGGAATCAGAACTACATCTCCCAGAATGCTCCGGCACGCACAGCTTCCGGCTTCGAGGAGCAGCCCCGGTGACCGGCGTTGTTACCACAGAGACCATTCCCAGGTTATTTGGGACCCGGAAGCCGGCGAGTGAATCCATATTAGAGGCACGAGGAAGGACAGAATACGGTATTTTACAGAAGCAATGCTTACGAGTACAGCGCCTCTTTTTCTTCCCACGGATGCCCAGGGCCGGAGCAAAGGGCGAACAGCCCTCTGGGAAGTGCAGGCGAAACTGAGAGCTATGGGAAATGTAGTTCATTCATCACTGGTCGCCCATTTAAAGGGATGAAATTCTTCCTCTTACATCTTGACCATTCAAACACAGAATTTGCCTCAATACTTAGAGTAATTACTACTCACGTTCGCCCTTCTTTCATGTCAACCCTCGGGCTGTGTTTCAGACACTACATTTCCTAAGTGGAGCTTGTTCCTGGCTAGCTTGTCTTCACAAAAGTCGACCAAAGTAGCCGTGGCTAATGGAACTGATAGACACACTTCATAGCCTCTGTGGGAAGAAATCTCAGAAACTGCTAACGGTTTATTTGTTCTGAGTTAATCTTCAATCTAGATGTCCACTTGAGGACAGGCACAGAAGAATGCAAGCCGTTGGCGTGTGACTCCTCCCCTGCTACACACCGAGACACAGTAAGGAGCGTGGAATCTCAAGAGGCAATGCCAACCACCTGACCAGAGGCTTGGACGGCCGGTGGCCTTTAGTCCGTGGGCTCAGATGCCTGACTCTGGCCCGTGTGTGTACAGGTGTACATGCGTGTGTGCAGGTGCACATGCGTGTGTGCAGGTGTACATGCGTGTGCTGCAGTCCAAATTCCACGCCACGTGCTTGCGCAGTCACTCTCCCATCTTAATTTTTCCGATGGAGTCTCACTGAATCTTCGCTCACTGGTTTGTTAGAACCACCCCCTTCCTCAGAAATGTCTCAATGGCAGGCTTTTGTGTGAGTGCTGGGAAGCCGAACTCTGCTCCTCAAAACTTTATCACCACGCCATCGCTCCGGTGCCTCATATATACATCTGTGTGTGCACGCACGCGTATGAGCAACTCATCAATTTTGGCTGTCAGCAGTGTCCATCTCTGAAACTCCAGGAATTGCCGCCATTATGCCAGGTTGTTGTATGTGGAGGTTACGGATCTAAATTCAGATGCTGCACTGACCAGGTCATCTCCCAAACCCGCAAAGAGATTTATTCTTTGTTTGTTTCTGTTTTCCAAGACAGGGTTTCTTTGACTGTCCTGGAACTCTGTTTGTAGATCAGGCTGGCCTCGAACTCACATAGATTTACCTGCCTCTGCCTCCAAAGTGCTGGGATTAAAGGCATGTGCCACTATGACTGAGATATGTTCTTGATGTGTAGTTGAAACAGGTTTCTTTTCTAAATTTAACTCTACGTGCATTGCTGAAGAGGTATCAGATTCCCTGGAACTGGAGTTGCAGACAGTTGTGAGCTGCTATGTGGGTGCTGGGAATTGAACCCAGGTCCTCTGGAAGAGCAGCCAGGGCTCTTAACCACTGAGCCATCTCTCCAGGCCCCTGAAACAGGTTCCTATGAGTAGGAACTTAGCACGAGACTGGTAAGACTACAAATGTAGGAGATGACTCCCTTTGACCCCCACAGGTTTGGGCGCCTAGATTCTCTAAGTGGACCTGCGCTGTGGAAGTCTGCACCACGCCTTTGGAAACGGGGGGGGGAGGGTGCTTTCAAGATCTGTAGAAAGCACTGGACAGAGGCCTGGAGCTTGGTAGGCAGAGCACTCGCCTAACGAGGCCCTGGGGTAGTGCACGCCTGTAGTCTTATTTGGGAAGTGGAGACAGAAGGATCAGGAATTCGAGGCTACCTTTGCTACATGGGGGATTTAAGATCAGCTTGGGCTACACAGGACTCAAAAAAAAATCCAAATCTGTACTGGAAGGAACTGAGAGAGTGCAGAATGGATAATGGATGTTTCTCAATTCAGAGCACCAGGAGCTTTTCCTTCTCCAGAGGGAAGAGTTGGTCTGCACACTGCTACTGCTCTAACTTCAGTAGGAAAAATGGCTCCCATCATAACCCACGGACCATTCACTGATACAGCAGAGGTCACATCAGAAGCACAGTCTCTGCTTCATAGCAAAAGCAAGAATGCCTTTCCTCATTGACGTCTCTGTGCTGCTGCGGACTGAACTTAGGGCCTCTTTCCTGTTAGGCGAGTACTCTGCAGCTGAAGCATGTCCCTGTCCCCACACGGGGCGGGGGTGGGGGCTTCTAGGCCAGCAGTCTGCACTGAGCTGCATCTTCAGCCCTTTCATTTTGAGACAGTACCTCACTAGGTTGTCCAGGACGGCTCTGAATTTCCTCTGTAGACGGGCTGCTGTGGAATAAGCCTTCAGTACACTGAATACGTCGCTGTGACTGGTGTAATAAACAAGCTGACTGGTCAGTAGCTGAACAGGACCAAGTTAGGTGGCAAAGCCAAACTGAGGATTCTGGGATGCGGAGGGGCAGAGTCAGGAGATGCCAGCCAGCGGCCGAGAAAGCAGGACATGTAGAAGATGGGTAACAAGCCAGGAGCCACATGGCGAAGCACACATAGGAAATATGGGTCAATTTAAAGTGTGAGAGCTAGCTAGTAATAAGCCTGAGCTGTTGGCCCAGCACTTGTAATTAATATTAAACCTCTGTGTCAGTTATTTGAGAAATGGCTGCTGGCTCGGGGAAAACTCTGTCAACAACCGGGCAACTTAGTTTTCTTCTCTTACTGTGTAGCCTGCATGCATGCATGTGAACCAGAGGCCAGAAGAGGGCACCAGCCCCTGCAGCTGGAGTCACAGATGCTTGTGAGCTGCCACATGGGTGTTAGGGACCAAACCCAGGTCCTCTGCCAGAGCAGCAAGGGTGGTGGAGTCATCTCCAGCCATTTAGTTTTGGTTTTTAAAACAGAGACCAAGACATGGATTTATGTGCTCTGTGACCTGAAAAGTTCTGTTAGAGCCTTTATCGGACCTTAAACACAGAGTATAGTGATCTCCACGGGCTCTGTCTGATCAATTTTAAGAAATGAACATTCAAATGACAGTGTAAGCCTGGCATGGTTTCCTGTGCAATGGGCTGTGCTTCAGAACCCTTCCTGGTTCAAAGAAGCATGATACTCGTTCTTCCTGTAGACACTCATAAGCCATTTTCTGACTGGGTCTTTATTCACCCTGCGGTTGTTCCCAATGGTGGCAGTTTTCTGTTAATGTAACAAAATACATGAGGTAACTTTTAAAAGAGAGAGAAGGTTGCCTTTTGGCTTGTGGTCTCCCAGGTTTCAGTTGGTGGTGAGTTGTGTTTAGGCCTGTGGAAAGAGACATACCATGGTGGGAGCAGCGGGTGGGGCAGATCTCCCCCTTCGTGGCCACAGAGAAGCACAGGAAGACTGGCATCCCACGCACGGTCCCCTCAAAGGCCAGGCTTCCCATGGCCTGAAACCTCCTGCTAGAAGCAGCCTCTCAAAGATGTCCACCTTTCACTCGTGCCGGATGGATGAGCACGCTTTTAACCATGTTGTGGAATACCACTTTAACTAGACTTGAGGGTATTACTTTACCTATGTGAAGGCGTTACATTTGTCTGCACATAAGGGTGTGGTACGCTTGTCTGTGTGGCATTTGTTTCACCTGGCCTGCCTAAGGCACCCGATTGAGCTAATAAAAAGCTGAATGGCCAACAGCCAGGCAGAAGAGGGATGGGCAGGGCTGGCAGAGAGAATACGTAGGAGAAATCTAAGCTTGAGGGAAGAGAGAAATGGACACTCCCAGGGCCAGAAGCCAGGCATCGGCCAGCCAGTCACGAGGGACAGTGAAAGTAAGATATACAGCAGAAAGAAAAGTCAGATATACAGCAGAAAAGAAAAGTAAAAAGCCCCAAGGCAAGAGGTCGATGAATACAAACAGGTTAAGTTCTAAGACTAGCATTCATAACTAGTAACTAGACTAGCATTCATAACTAGTAACTAGACTAGCATTCATAACTAGCAACTAGACTAGCATTCATAACTAGTAACTAGACTAGCATTTAACTAGTAACTAGACTAGCATTCATAACTAGCAACTAGACTAGCATTCATAACTAGTAACTAGGCTAGCATTCATAACTAGTAGTCTCCATGTCTCGATTTGGGAGCTGGCCAGTGGCCCACAAGAAAAGCCTGGCACAGTTCAAACTGCAGCACTCTGGTGACAGCTGTTCTGGGTCTCAGGGGACACTTACACGTGCTCAGTGGGTTATAAAGCTGTATGAAGAGCAGAGGCCTGGGATCCAATCCTATCCCTGTCTCTCTTGCTGGGTCGTCCAGGACTACAATAGTGATACAGTGACAGAGGAATGCAAGTAGCCACCAGAGGCCAGCAGTAGCAAGAAACAGCCTTAGTGATGGCACACATCTTTGATCACAGCACTGGGGAGGCAAAGGCAGTCAGATAATCTGTGAGTTCATAGCTAGCCTGGTCTAAAAAGTGAGTTCCGGGCCACCCAGGGCTACACAGTAAGATGTCTCAAAATCAACCCTCCTCCAAACAACAAAAACAGACGGTAACTCTCGTGTATCATCAAGGGTGAATACGCCCCTGGGTGGGTGGGGGTCTTGATTTGGACCCAGTAGGCAGCAGTTTTGGACTCCTGACTTAAGTATTGGGAGCGGAGCCTCAAAATGAGAAGAGGTTGGAGGCAAGATTCTTGCTTATTTTATTGGCTTTTATTTTCTGTGACCATGTGTGTGCCGTGGGGTGTGCGTGTGGAGACACAGGACAGTTTGCAGGAGTCGGCTCTTTTCTGCCACCACATGGTTCTGAAGATCAAATTCAGGTCATCAGGCTTGGCAGCACCGTCATCTCCCGCCTTTTCTTGTTAACATTAGCAATGTTCCATCAGGTCACCGGGAATGGTGACTGCAGTGAATGCTGGGACCTGAGCCTGTTAACCTGTCCCAGCATTTCCCCCAGTCGCCCGCATGCGGTGTTTGCTTGTTGTTTAGAAACGATCCAGGGGCTCACGTAGCCCAGGCTAGCCTTGCAGTGGCTACACAGTTGAGGCTGACTTGAGATCCTGACTCTCCTGCTTCTACTTCCTGACGGCTGTGATCATAAGCACGTGCTTCCTTTGTGTGCACGTGGGTGTGAAGTCCAGAGGACAGCCTTGGTAACGGTCCTTCAGACACCACATGTGTTTCTATGCATGTGCCTGTGTGTGTGTGTGTGTGCCTGTGTGTGTGTATTTGTGTGCCTGTGTGTGTGCCTGTGTGTGTGTGCCTGTGTGTGTGCGCCTGTGTGTGTGTGTGCCTGTGTGTGTGCGCCTGTGTGTGCCCCTTCAGAGGCCCAAAGGTGACAGATACCTTTCTTGCACCCAGAGCTGGCGGGTACCGGCTTGTCCAGTCAGCCAGTCTGCACCGGGAGTCCTGCGTTCGCTTTCCCCATACCGGGTTATGGGAGCTGCTGCACTTGCCTGGCGTTTATGAGTTCCGAGACTCTGACTTCAGTCCTCACTTCTGCTGCTGTGGCAAGTCAATTGATGACCGAGCCAACTCACCAGCCCACACGTTTGTTTCGGAGGCAGGATCTCTCATGGGCTTTAAGCTCACACAACAGAATAGGCTAGCTGGCCAGCAAGCCACAGGGTGTGCCTGTCCCTGGCTCCCCAGTGCTGGGACTTGACCAGTACAAGCCACAGTACCCAGCGCTTTCACACTGGTTGGGACGGCTTGGGTCTCAGCTTTGCGAGTCAGGCGCTCTCCCAACTGAACCACCTCCCTAGCCCCTTGCACTCCTTTAACAAGACACCTTATATTGTTGATTTTTATCTTTTCAGTTCTAGAAATGGAACCGAAGGTCTCCTACATGCTAAGCTAGTGATCGATTTCTTAGCCACACTTCCAGCCCCTCCCTGGGGGATTCTAAGTGCATGCTCTACTGTAGAACCACACAACCGATCCACTCATTTGTTGACCCCCCCTTTAAAAAAGGGCTTATTTGTGTGCATTTGTGTTTGTGTGGTGTTTTGAATACTTGTCTCCTAATGATGGCACTGTTTGGGAGTTTTAGGAGGTGTGGCCTTGCTTGAGGAACTATGCCTACAGAGGAGGGCTTTGGTGCCCGTCTCTGCTTGCTCTCTCTGACGTGTCTGCAGTTTGATATGAGCCCCTGTTTCCTGTCCCTGCTGCCACGTCTCCCTGTCTTGATGAACTACTATCTCTACAGAACCATGAGCCCAAATAAACTCTTCTTAGAGTTGCCTTGGTCATGGTGCATTGTCACAGCACCAGAAAAGTACTAATACAGCGCGCGTGTGTGTGTGTGTGTGTGTCTGTGTCTGTGTGTGAGCGTGAGTGTATGCGTGAGTGTGTGTGAGTGTGTGTACACCCTTGGGATCAGAAGGCACAGGATCTCCTGGAGCTAGAGTTACAGGCACAGCTGCCCAGTGTGTGTGTGGAGATCTGAACTCAGGTCCCTTGCAAGAGCAACAAGTGTTCCTAACCACTGACTCATCTCTGGCTGATTTCTTTTTAAAATTCTATACTGTGTTTGTGTTGTGGGGTTTGGAGGAGGCATATCTGTCCTTCCCCTTTAAGTGGGAATCTGGGGATTGAACTCAGGTTGTAAGGCTTGGCAACAAGTACTGTTACCCACTGAACCATCTCGCTGGCCCCTGTGGTTTATTCTTTTATGGAAAATATCACTGTAGCCAAGCCAGGAAGCAGCAGCTCTAGCACATGTGTTCTCTGTAAGAAACACCATAGCCTCTCTACACTCAGGGACATCAGAGGTCACATGGCTCCACTCTGGGCCATTTCACTCCATTAACCACCACCAAACAGTTCAGCCTGAAACTCAGCACCAGAAGGCTGCTGGAAGATGTGTTTATGGTGTGTTGGCTGAGATGGAAAGGCAGGCACCCTGTTGCCTCTGGAGGAGGGTTGAGATAAGGGCTCCCTCTGTAGCCCAGGCTGGCCCTGAACATTCAGTCCCCCTACCGCAGCCTCCCAAGGGCTGGGATCACAAGCATGTGCCACCATGCCTGACTCTTCCTGGTGCCTTCTAGCAGATAAGGAACACTTGGATAGCCACAAGGAGAGGGCGTGTCAGCAGCTGGGTGGGATGTCGGCGGTACTTGGGAGGCGGCGGCACATGGACACTAAGTGATGATGAGCATCTCCTCTCGGTCTCTGCTCTCCGACATGGAGTTGATGATGCTTTTTTAAGTACTTGATGAATTCCACCCGGACCTCCTCGGGGTCCTCCTCCAGGTTCGAGTGCACCAGCTTCAGCTTGTTTAGGGGGGGGGAGCTCCACAGGGAAACGAGGCTAATTAGGCTTCAAGGTTGACAAGGAGCTCTTTCTAGCATGTAATACCCAGGCTACTGCAATCCCATTTTCTCCTTTCGCCCCCTTCCTCCCACCCCCGCAGATCTTGCTGTGCACCACAGGCAGGCTCGGAGCTCTTGGTCTTGCTCAGCCTTGCCAGTGCTGAGAACCAGCAATGTGCTAACACACCAGTGACATGTGAGCTCTTAAAAGTTTTAACCTGTTGATACAGGGAATGGCCGTGGTGGTGGCACACAGCCTTCACCCCAGCACTGGGGAGGCAGAGGCAGGCAGATTTCTGTGAGTTGGAGGCCAGCCTGGTCTACAAAGCAAGTTCCAGAACAGCCAGGTCTGTTACACAGAGAAACCCTTTCTAAAAACCAAACCAAACAAAACATAAAACTGAAACTGTCCCTTGGTGGCAACAGGAAAGATACCAAAGTAGGCACTGGCAGGTCCTTGCTTTTTTGTCTTTTGTGTGGTGCTGCAGAAGGAACTAAGCCTTGTACATATTGAACGAGAGCTCTGCCATAGAGCCACACCCCAGCCCCTCACTGGGGGATTCTAGGCAGGTGCTGTACCACTGAGCCACACCCCAGCCCCTCACTGGGGAATTCTAGGCAAGCACTCATTGCTATTACATGCCTCTGTGAACACCTTGTATGTATGAGGTGCATATGCATACACAGGTAGACACACAAACATGAGTAAGTACAAAAAATAAAATAAAATAAAGCCCCAATGCCGATGGCTTTCCTGAGAATGATATCTAAGGTTGATCTGTGGCCTTCAAATACATGTAGACTTATGCTTTCATGCACACCTGCATGCACACACACACACACACACACACACACACACTCCACACATACACACAGAAGTGCTTCAAACAGTGGAGATGAGCAGGAAAAGAAAGTCTAGGGTACTTACACAAAGCCAGGCTGCCCTTGTCTCCTCCAGAGCCCGGTTTGTGGTGGGCCACAAGCATGCAGTGACTGTCTTGGAGGAACTGTTGCTGGACAAAGCAGGAATACCACATTTCGATTTCCTTTAGGTGGCTTGGGATGTCAGCATTGAAGACAATCACCACGCCATGAGCATCCTTCATCAGGGCTGGCCAGCAGGACTCAAACCTGCCAGGCGGAAAGGAAGTCAAGAGAAAGCTGTAGGACATCCTTGCTTCTCAATGTTGCTATTATTATTATTACAGCCTTGGGGACTTCACACATGCTGTGCAACTGCTCTACACTGAGCCACACCCCAGCCCCTCACTGGGGAATTCTAGGCAGGGGCTCTACCACTGAACCACACCCCAGCCCTTCACTGGGGATTCTAGGCAGGGCTCCACCACTGAGCCACACCCCAGCCCCTCACTGGAGGATTCTAGGCAGGTGCTCTACCACTGAGCCACACCCCAGCCCCTCACTGGGGGATTCTAGGCAGGTGCTCTACCACTGAGCCACACCCCGGCCCCTTACTGGGGATTCTGGCTTTACCTCTGAGTTACTCAACCCCAACCCTACTTTTTGTCAGTCATCTGTCAAAGCAGAGCCGTGTTAAAGAAAACTTACTTAGAGTCGCCACCACAGTCCCAGAGCTCGAATTCACAGCCTGTGCCCTTGCTGTTGCTGGTGACATGTGGGTTCTCAAACTCTAGGATCCTAGAAATACAAGCACCACAGCAGGGCCCTTACTAGGAAGCAGTTTTGGAAGACGCACAGCACATGAGGTAGGGAATGAATGCTGTTTCACAGTTGCTCTAGACACGAAGATTGGACAGGCTCACCTCACACCTTGTGTTGGGTTGTATTCAGTGATGTCCGAAGATTCAGTCAGAAAGTTGGCCAACACTGTTTTGCCACTCTGAAAGTAAAAGCAAATAGAGCAGAGTAATAAACCACACAAACATCACTAATGCGTGGTGGGACCCCAGCACTCATGTGGCTGAGGCAGCAAGAGTGCAAGTTCAAGCTAGCCTGGGCTACACAGTGAGGCCTGGACTGGGTGTGGTGAAGTACTGGCCCTGACATCTCTAGGAGGATGCTGCCTGGTCCTTACGCAGTGGGCAGAGCTTGGATTAGGTCCCAGTGTGGGGTCCCAAAGAAGTGGCTCTGTTCCATCTTGACATAAAGTCAGAGAGTTCAAGCCTATTATTGCTCCTTCAACGGTAAATCCACAGTATGTTTGACCTAAGGTGTGGCTATTGCATGTCTTGCCTTGACAGCAGGGTATTTGGCCTGATGTGTAGCTAATGGGTGCCTCACCTTGACAATAGAATATTTGGGTTAGGGTGTGGTGACCAGATGTTTTGGGTATAGAGAAGGTAATTACTCTTGCTTGTTCCTTGTATCTTGCTAAGGAAATCTTTTACCCTCCCCTTTTGATTGGGGCATTTAAGAATTTGAGTAATAAACTTGGGGTTGATCCTGGTATTCACTGGGCACCCTCCCAACTCTATGCCTTGACTCTAGCCTGTTTATTTCCTCAATCCACAATCTTTCTTCCGAGCGTGGCCTGAACTAACTGGAGGGACAGGACAACCCAGCATGCCTTTCTACAGTCTGGCTGGTACTCAAGTTAGCTTATCTGAGAAAACCAGAGAGCAAACGACAACCACAAAACCCCATAAGTGTGTATCCCACCACCCTCCCCAGCTTTCCTCCCAGCTGTAGTCCATTGGTCTGCTACAGCTATAAGGTCACAAAGAGGATCAAGGGCAACACTAAGACCCAGGTGTGTGAACTCTTGCTGATTGAGTCACAAAGTCAGCAATCCACTTCTCATGTATAATTATGTAATTGACATTCCTATAAAAAGTCAACAGGGTAGTAAGACAGTCTTTCTGAACCCTCTACCCAAATCAGGCTTCCACCCACGCACTCACCCACCTACCCACCGACCTACACACCTACTCACCTATCCACCTACCCACCCATCCACTCACCCACCCACCCACCCACCCATCCACGCACCTCCCCCATCCATTCACCTTTCTACTCAACCACCCACTACCCTCTCATCCATCCACTCAACTACTCAGTCACCCCATCCAATCATCCGTCTATCGATCCATCCATCCGTCCGTCCATCCATCCACCCATTCACTCAACAACTCACTCATCCATCCAATGTTCCACACATCCACTCAAATACCCAGTCACCCATCCATTCACCCAACCATTCCATCTTCAGAGCTATGATCTTCTTTTCAGATCTTCTTTATGTATTTGCACTATCCACTGAACAAATACTGCATATGCCTAAAAAAAAAACAAAAGTCCCCTCTCCTCTGAAATTATTCCTTAGAAGTCAATCTCTTAAAGCTGAGTGAGCCCTTGTAAAACTCTACAGGAGGAAGGAATGAAGAAGATAAAAGGGAAGGAAGGGGGAGAGAAGGCTGGAGATGTGGTGAGAAGAGACAGGAGGATCAGGAGTTCAGGGTCATTTAAGCTCCATGAGTCCTTGTTTCAACAAACAAACAAAAACCCCTAAAGACTTAAAAAAAAAGAGAGAGACAAAGTACAAACCCCCCCAAAAAACCTCTACAATTTTACTCTGTTCTCCAAGTACTTGTTTTGAGGTAAGAAATTGTCATGCAGCCCAAGCTGGGTAGCAACTGTCAATCTTCCTGCCTTAGCCTTCAAAATGATGAAATTACCAATGTGTTAATCACCAAACTTAAATTTGTAACATATTTTGCAAACTTTCTCTGAACCACAACTGTGCTGTTCTACAACTCACTATGTTGCTGATCAGGCTGGCCCCCAACTCAGATTCACCAATCTCTGCCTCCTCGGTGCTGGAGTTAAATGCATGCACCACTATGCCCTTTCTGTATGTGTCTGTGCATGTTGAGTGCCCACAGAGGCCAGAGCTATCCAGTCTCCTGGCATTGGAAGTTAACATGTGAGCTGGCATGGGTGCCTGTTGTGGAATATTAGCTTTGCTTATGCTGTGGAACATTTGTTTAATGATGCAAAGATGTGCTGCATTCTTTTTTTTTTTTCAAGACAGGGTTTCTCTGTATTGCTCTGGAGGCTGTCCTGGAACTCTCTCTGTAGACCAGGCTGGCCTCGAACTCACAGAGATCCGCCTGCCTCTGCCTCCCAAGTGCTGGGATTAAAGGCGTGCGCCACCAACGCGCCCGACACCACCAAAGCCTGACCCATGTGTTGCTTTGCCTGCCTAAAACACCTGATTGGTCTAATAAAGAGCTGAATGGCCAGTAGCTAGGCAGGAGAGGAATAGGCAGGGCTGCCAGGCAAAGAATAAACAGGAAGAGAAATCTAGGCTGGAAAAGAATATAAAAAGGGGGAAGATTGAGAAAGAGAGAAGAGGAGGATGGGAGGGGTCAGCCACCCAGACATCCAGAGAGCAAGAAGGAAAGAAAGACATACAGACTAAAGAAAGGTAAAAAGCCCAGAGGTAGGGCTGGAAAGGTGGCTCAGAGGTTAAGAGCACTGACTGCTCTTCCAGAGGTCCTGTGTTCAATTCCCAGCAACCACATGGTGGCTCACAACCATTTACAATTCAATCTGGTGCTTTCTTCTGACATGTAGGCGGAACACTGTATATGTGATAAATAAATAAATAAATCTTTAAAAAAAAAAGCCCAGAGGTAGCTGGGTGTTGGTGGTACACACCTGTAATTCCAGCACTTGAGAGAGGCAGAGACAGGTGGATCTTTGTGAGTTCAAGACCAGCCTGGTCTACAGAGTGAGTTCCAGGACAGGCTCCAAAAGCCACAGAGAAACCCTGTCTCGAAAAACCAAAACAAACAAAAAAACCAGAAACCCTGTCTCGAAAAACAAAAGAACAAAAGCCCAGAGGCAAAGAAGAGAAACAAGATCATTTAAGTTAGAAAAGTTGGCTAGAAACAAGCCAAGGTTGGGCATTCATAATAAGTCTCTGTGTATTTATTTGGGAGCTGGGTGGTGGGCCTCCAAAGAGAATAAAAATAAAAAAGAAATAAAAGTACAGGTGCTGGGAACCAAAGGAAGACCCCTGCAAGGGCACTATGTGATCTTAGTCACCAAGCCACCTTTCCAGCCCTGCTGTCCCTTCCTTTACCCTTTCTCCTCTCCTCTGCCCCACTCTGCAGCCCAGACTGCCTCAGACTCGTGGCGACCCTCCCGTCTCAGTCTCCCAGGTGCTAAGTTACAGGCCTGCACTGCCACACACGGCTCATTTCTTCCTAGCTTTTGTGCCTGCTAACCATCTCCCCTAACTGAGGATTAGACTTTTGGGGGGCAGGTTTTATATATCCCAGGTTGGCCTCAGATTTGTTATTGTAGCCAGGTCCCAATCATCATGACTCTACTTTCTAAATACTGGAACTGAGGAGTGTGCCACCATGAAAGTTTTATGTGGTGCGGAGAACTGAACCCAGGGACTCCCGTATGCTAGGCAAACATTCTGCCATCCAGCTACACCCCCAGCTTCCTAACTTAAGATTAAGAACACATCTTTGCCATATATTCACCAACGAATGTACAGTGGCTCTCATCTTTGCTCTATGGACCAATGTGCAAAATATGAATCCCTACATTCTTCCCAGATCTACGCAGGAGCCATAACTAAGATATTCAGGACATGGTGACACAGACCGATAGGGCTCGGGAAGCTGAAGCAGGGGGATCTTGAGTTCAAGGCCAGCCTGAACTACATAGCAAGATGTTATCACCAAATAACAAAACTTAACAGAAGCTAACTTTCTGAGCTGGGGCCCAGAGATTTTATCTATCTATCTATCTATCTATCTATCTATCTATCTATCTATCTATCTATCTATCATCTGTCCATCCATCCATCTTTGTTATTTGAGACAGCATTTCCCATCATAGTTCAGGCTGTCCCAGCACTTAGAATGTAGCCCAGGCTACCCTTGAACTTGTGATGGTCCTCCTCCCTCTGCTTCGAGTCCTGGTGTTACAGGTTCGGGTCACTACGCCCAGCTTCCTTCTACAGTTAACTTACTTGCGTGTTTAGTTCTGGCCCATCTGAACTTCCATTTGGTGTATAGCGTGAATCACCTATGTAGCAATTCCCTAATAAGAGCCACTTGCTCCAGGACCCTATATTTTAAAATCTAGTTTTCTCATCCCGTAGACATATTCCTCTTGCGGGGCAGGTCCGGAGGGGAGTCGTGAGACGCCCGGGGACCTCGAGATTCTCCTCCACTGCTTGGGAGGGAAGAACGGGAGGCTGGGCAGCTCCGCAGGTCAAGGCCAGCTGCCGCCCCCAGCGGGGATGCTGGCCCCGAGTTGCACCTCCCGGGAACAACCCCAGCTTTAGGGGCCCCCGAGCCCGGCCTCACCTCGCAGGGCCCCACGAAGAGAATCTTGGCCTTCAGCATCGCTGTCCGTTACCGAGAACCGCGGAAGCTCCCCTGCCACAGCGCACTGAGATGCCCGCCGCGTCAGCCAGCGGGGTCACACGCTCTGATTGGCTGATCGGTTTCCACGACGACCGGGAGCAGCTGCGCAGAAGCCCAGGAAACCCCCGCGAGTTCCGGAGTCTGGGCCGGCGGGTCTACTATGGAAGCTGAGGAGGACCAAAAGAGGGAACGCAAAGTTGGCTCGCCTGTGTGCGTGCTAAGCACTCTGGAAGGGGAGGCATGATCATGCTCCAATCTGCTTTATTTCTCCCGGTCACCGTGAATGTCCCAGGAAGTCAGCTGCTAAGCAGTACTGGAAACCAGAACTGTAATTTTATCCCCCCTCTTTATTCCTCGTACGGATTGAAACCCGGAGTCCCATTCATACAGGTGTTAGCCTGTGTTTCACCTACAACCCAACTTCTGCAGATATTAAAAGGTTGGGGTTGTTTTCCTTGGGTAGATGCTGGAGATTGAACTCAGGTATTAGTAAATCCTAGGCAAGCACTCTGCCACATCCCCAGCCCAGCTCCCTGTGTAGATCAGGCTGACCTCGAACTCACAGACATACACTGCCTCTCAAGGGCCAGCATTAAAGGCATTCGCCACCACTCTCGACCTCCTCTCCCTCTCTCCTGCCATGACACACATGTGAACATCAGATAGGAGTAACTTCTCTCCTTCCACCACACACGTTTTCGAATCCAGTTATGTTTTTCAGGCTTGATGGCGAGAGTCTCTCTGCCGAGCCTCTTGCCGGCCCTGTTGCTGTTTATCTTGATACTGAGATTGACCTTGGTCATCAGGAGCTTCTGCAAGCCAGTGTCTGTGTTCCTTTGACATTTGTGTCATCCTCTGAGCATTTTCACATATTAAAGTGTGCGTGCGTGTGTGCGTGTGTGTGCATGTGTGCGTGTGTGTGTGCACGCGCACCCTGGAGTTAGAGTTATAGAAGGTTAGCTCCCCAAACAGGTGCTGGAAGCCTAACTCAGGTCCTCTACAAGAGCAGTAAGTGCTTTTAACGGCTGAGCCATCTCTCCAGCCGCCCCTTTCATACTTTTTGGCACAATTATATTAGTCCCCGGAGGTTCATTTTATTGCTCTTGCTTCATAGTGGCCATACTTTATACACATTCTTTTGCTTGCATTTAAAATTAAAAGTTTCAAAAGAGCAGGGACCCTCAGAAAAGTTATTTATTCCTTTACACAACTTGGGAAAGTTGGAGGGAACTTTATGCTCCTGACTGTGACTTCTGGCATGAAACACACTTAGGTCACTGGCCTGGGCTTTAGGAGAGGGTGGTGCCAGGCCATTGGGCAACGCTGGCTTCACAGTTGGAACTTCTTAGCTCTTTTCCCACCCTGAGTTTCCTTCTCAGATGAGAGACAGGCTATAGAGTGTGCTTCCCATGCCGAGGGAGCGTGCACACGCTTGTCTCTGTTCTGCAGGGGAGGGCAGAGGTTGGCTTTCCATATCTTTCTACCACTCTCCACCTTCCTAGGTTGGCAGCTCCCTGGAATCCCATTGCCTCTTCCCCCTCCAGTGCTGCCACCAGGCTGTTATGTGGATGCCAGGGATTAGAACTCAGATCCTCAAGCTTGCACAGCAATACCCTCCGTCCCTAGAGTCCTGCTTCCACTGGCACCTAAGCTAGTCCTCAGAGGTAAGTGGATGGCCTGGGTTAAGGAACCTCCCAGTTGCTCAGGTTCTGGTTTTACAAGGGTCTGCAAATGCTAGGGGCTAGAGCCTAGATGAAGCACGTAGGTTGGCAGGGGTGGGTCCTTCAGGGTATATTATACCTGGCTACACTCCTGTCGTGCTTTCTGCTGCCTGGCCACTGTGTGTGGACTGAGCTACCACCATGGCAGACTGAACTCATTGAGGCAACATTCTTTCCTCCCTTAAGTTGCCTAGTTTGGGCAATATACTATGACCAAACCCAACTAACACACAGTGTAAGGAGTCTGTGCCTAAAATGATAGCAGTAAGGATGTAAGGGTCAGAACGCCTCTCTCTCTCTCTCTCTCTCTCTCTCTCTCTCTCTCTCTCTCTCTCTCTCTCTCTCCATGGATGTGTATGTATGCACCCATGAAAGTATATCTTTGTGTGTCTTTGTACACAGTGCACAGAGATAGTGGTAGATGGCTTGTGTTTTCTATAACTCTCCACCCTTTGTTTCCAGACAGGGTTTCTCTATGTAGCCCTGGCAGCCCTAAAACTCGTTCTGTAGACCAGGCTAGCCTCTAACTCACAGAGACCTGCCTCTGCCTCCAGAGTGTTGGGATTGAAGGTGTGTGCCACCACTGCCTGACACCCTCCACCTTTTCCCCCCCAAGATCTTTTAAGTGTATGGATGGATGTCTTGCCTGCAAGTCTGTGCACCATTTGTGTGCAGTGCCGGAGGAGGCCAGAAGAGGGTGTTGGATCCTCTTGGAACTGGAGTTACAGACGGTTGGGAATTGCCATGTGGGTGCTGGGAATCAAATCCCAGCCCTCTGGAAGAGCAGCCAGCGCTATTAACCTTTGAGTCATCTATCCAACCCCATCACCTTAAGTTTTGAGACAGGATCTTATCAGCAAGCTTCAGGAGTCTTCTTGTCACCATTTCCCCAGTCCTGAGACAAAGGATGCTTGCCACTAAGTCCAACTTTTACATGGGAATGAACTCAAGTCCTCACATTTATGTGGTAAGCACTTCCTCACTGAGCCATGCCCCAGCCTTCCCATCTCCCCTTTTACGTGTAGGGATGGCACTGTTTTCTTTGTGTGTAGAAATGGTTTTTCTCATATTTTTTGGTTGTGAGCCTAGCCTTTAACGGCTGAGCCATCTCTCCAGCCCAGCGTTGGTGGCGCACGCCTTTAATCCCAGCACTCGGGAGGCAGAGGCAGGTGAATCTCTTTGAGTTCAAGGCCAGCCTGGTCTACAGAGCGAATTCTAGGACAACCTCCAAGCAATACAGAGAAACCCTGTCTCTAAAAATAAATTAAAAAAAAAAAGAAAAAGAAAGGAAAAGAAAAGAAAAGAAAAGGTTTGCCTTTTTACTGTCCCAGAGAGCCCAGTATGCATCAGCCGGGGTGTTTATTTAGTACACTGGGAAGAAGTTGCTGTGTATTCTACCCTTTAACATTCTAGAAAAAGCCATGCATAGTGTGAAAGCCTGGGTAATTCTGGCACTCAAGGGGATGGAGGTAGAAGGATCAGGAGTTCAAGGTCAGCCCAGGCTACAGATCTCATCTCAAACAACAACCCCCTCCCCTAAAATAAAACAAAACAAAAAACACACGAGGGGCTGCGGAGACGCCCAGTCAGTAGGCGTCTTGTTCCTCAGCACTCAGGTAAAATGTCAGGGGCGACGGCTAGTGCCTGCAAATCCCACTGCTTGGGAGACCGAGGCAGCAGAGGAGCTAAGGACCAGTTAATCTTGCGGAATCAGAATAAGGTGGAAGAGCCGGAGAGATGGCTCGGCTGTGAAAAGTGCTTTGCTGCTCCTGCAAGAAGGAGCAGACTTTGGTTCCGGGTACCCACACCGGGCGGCTCCCAACCGCTTGTAATTCCAGCTTCGGAAGATCCTACACCCACCCTCTCTGCCCTCTGCTGGCACCTGCGCTCGCTCGGGAGTGTGCATGGATATTGCCGTAGTCTGCTTTTCTATTGCGGAGATAAAGCCTTGATCAAAACTAAGGCGGGGCAGGAAAGGGGTTTATCTGAATTGTTCTGTTATCAATAAAAACTTGGGAGTCAGATATGGGAGTAAAAGATAGGGAAAGAAACTGGTGGAGGAACGACTAAAGACTTTTTTGTAGGTGGTTTGTTTTGCTTTTTTTTTTTTTTTTTTTGAGACAGGGTTTCTTTGTACAGCCCTGGCTGTCTGTAGACCAGGCTGGCTTCTGACTCTCAGAGATCCGCCTGCCTCTGCCTCCCGAGTGCTGGGATTAAAGGCATGCACTGCCACTTCCCAGATTTGTTTTTAATTATGACTGTATGTGTACATGTGTGCTTGTGCGAGTGAGTGAAGGCTTCTGAGGAGGTCAAAGAGGGTGTCAGAGCTTCTGGCGTTACAGGCAGCTATGAGCTGCCTGATGTGGGTGTTGGGAACTGAACTCATATCCTTTGGGAGAGCAGTGAGTGCTCTTAACCACTGAGCCATCTGTCCAGCCCTACACATTCATTTGGCCTTTGTTTAAATATTTAAAGGAATCAGGGCTTCTTTAGTCTTGCCAAAGTGTTTTGGTTTTTTTGTTTCCATGCGAGAGAACTGAAAACATGAAGTGTTTTGCTTGTATTGGTTACATGCGCTATTTCAGTTTGGGATTATTATCGTCATAAGTTATTAGAATACTTCAAGGCTTCTGTTTTAATCAGGTGAGGTTGACTTCTTACAGTTTAAGACGGGGCAGTGTGATCTTGACAAGAGCCAAGACTGAAGGAACTAAAGCTCATTTCCCTGTTTCAGTGATCAAAGAAACGCAATCTCTCACTTGACACAAAAAGCATCGAAATAAGCTTGACATATTTTAAATCATTTCTACGAATTGTTGAAAAGGTTTAATATGACCACCAGTCATAAAATTCTATTATCTGAGCTGACAATGCACGATCCTGCTATTTTTATGACCAAAGGAAAAAATTGTCAATTTCCTGTGACTCATGAGAATAAAAACAACCTTCAAGAATTTCTTTGTACAATGAATCGATTTTCTACCTATCCACGTCAGCTCTCAAAGATAAGAATGCTCATGTAGCCAGCAGTGGTGGCACACACCTTTAATCCCAGCACTCAGGAGGCGGAGGCAGGCAGATCTCTGTGAGTTCGAGGCTAGCCTGGTCCACAAGAGCTAGTTCCAGGACAGCCTACAAAGCCACAGAGAAACCCTGTCTAGAAACACACACACACACACACACACACACACACACACACACACACACAAAAGAATGGTCATGTAACTGTTTGTAACCTGGATCTGTTTCGTTCTCTATGAATATTTGCTGTCCTTTATAAATAACAGGGAAGTAGGCGTGATTGGGGCTTTTGTCTTGGTTAGGGTTTCTACTGCTGGGAGGAGACACCATGAGCATGGCAGCTCTTATAAAGGAAGACATTTAATTGGGGCTGGTTTACAGGTTCA